GTATTCTACCTATACATACTACATATAGGTACATGTGAAACTTGTTTAGTCTGTTATGATAGGTACAAACATATAACAACAATAGTTATTTAAACAACAAATTTTGAAAACGACTTTTCCATATTCCTGCGTTCGGCCAACTGTAATCGTGTGCGGAAAAGTGAAACTATCCGCACGCGAGTACTCATATCAGAAATATGTTTTAAGTCACGTTCTTGAAATTTTCTGCTAATGCTTTTCTTTCAAAAAAAAAATAAATAAAACAATCCTATGACAGCGGTACTCCATCGGCTCCTATGGTAAGGGTACTACCGCGGATGTGAGGTGGTACCTCAGATTTAATTCTTCGATTTACGTCTCTTTATATTTCTTAAAAAGTGAGTGGTTTATGAGTAAAATGAAAATTAAGCATAAAATTGTTTTTTGACAGTACTTCTTTGGCTGGCTTCTATCTCAGTAACGGTAGTACCCAAAAAATAACTATTTTTAAAAGGTTTTTCTGTGCTCTTCAATTTAAAGACTGTTTTTTTTAAAGATAAAAGTCAAAATGACGTTATGTTGGCAATACAATGTAAAATTATCAATGCTTTCAAATTTTTTATGTAGAAAAGGCTTGTGTTGCCAACATAGTTACTAAATTTTTGACTTGGGGAATTACCTTTAAAAAAAACAAACTCTATCTCTCTTTATATTTTCTCGAAAAATGAGTAGTTTTTGAGTAAAACGTAAATTAAGCAAAAAAATGTCAACAATCCAAGATGGCGGCGACCTTTTGACAATGTTCCCCTAAGGGCAGGTCTGGGGACTTTTAAGTTTTAGTATGTTCATCAGGACCATAAATCCTATCGATTGAGACTAGTCGCAGCTTTATGTTATTTTGTTCCCAATTCACCGTATAAGAATTTTTAACTGTCTTAGAGTAAACACATTTTATTCTATAATTTTTATAAAATTCGTGAAATATTCTCCCTAATAACCATTGCTTGATATCTCCCTAAATACCATTCGTGCTTAAAAATTAACCAGATTATACAACTCACTGTACATTATTCCCATATGACACGAGAGGCTTACGAAGTGATAAGCCTTTTGGGATTATCGCGCTTGGTGGCATTTATAGCAAATTCTATTATAGAATTTTTTTTTAATTCTAAAATTCGTTGTATAACCTTTTGAATACCACTCGATGTTTCAGGATTACCTAATACTTTTACCTGACACTCAACGCGTTACCAGCAACACCACTCCTCCTTCGGAGTCGTGGTGTTGCTGCGTAACGCGTTTCGTGACAGGTAAAAGTATTATCCGGTAATCCTGAAACCTCTTGTGGTATTACATTCGAGAATTTCATACATCTGTCAAAACTGGTATTCCAACAATAAATTGACATGTTTTGATTGTTGATTTGAATCAATCAGATTGGAATTACGCGATAATTTGCACTATATTTGGATGAAATTTAAATATGTTATTGGGGATGCCGTAAGCAACATTTTTTACCATGGGCACAACCCTGTATATATGAAAGGTGAGGCGGGTTAGCTGTCAAATATTGGAATCTTATATCCAAAAGCAGAGTGACTATGGCAGATTTTGATGATCGAAGTATCGATGTCTACTAACTTGACCAAGTTAAGTCAAAAAATGTCAACCATTTTGACACCCGTCAAAACCCTGCCAAACGGCAGCACTCATCTTTTCCCGTTTTCAATATTTTATGATGTCATTTGACATTTTTAACTTGTATGTAAATTCGGGATTCAAAAATTGAAAAAAAAAGGCAGAACTGTCAAAACCTGTCATTTTATTTTAGTAGAAAAAAATACTCTAATCTGGTTCTTTTTTGTTTCAAGGTAGTTTATTGGTGATAAAACATTAAACAAAGTTCATGCATGTCACATTTTGACAACTATCAGAATCTGTTAATAGCTTTTTGGTTCATATTGAGCTTGTTTGCTTAGTGAAGTTTTACGACGGGCATAAAATTGGTTTAGTTCTATTGTATTATTGTATTATTGTACTATTCTATGATTCTAGTTGTAGAACTTCACTAGCAAACAAACTCAATGAGCTATTAACAGATTCTGACAGTTGTCAAAATGTGACATGCATGAACTTTGATGTTTTATCACCAATAAACTCCGTTGAAACAAAAAAGAACCAGATTAGAGTACTTTTTTTTACTAAAACAAATGACAGGTTTTGACAGTTCTGTCTTTTTTTTTTAATTTTTGAATTCAGAATTTACATACAAGCTAATAAGAATGTCAAATGACATCGTAAAATATTGAAAACGAGAAAAGATGAGTGCTGTCGCAGGGTTTTGACAGGTGTCAAAATGGTTGACATTTTTCGACTTAACTTGGTCGACTTAGTAGAAATGGATTTTTTGTTCATCAAAATCTGCCATAGTTACTCTGCTTTTGGATATAAGTTTCCAATATATGACAGCTAACCACGCCTCACCTGTCATATATACAAGGTTGTGCCCATGGTAATAGTATATTGTTGTATTAGGAGTAGAAGCTTTACTTTTTTGTGCTGAAGCGGTAGGTTTGCGAGCCGAACGTAGTGAGGCTTGCAATACTGCTGAAGCACAAAAAAGTGCTTCTACTCCGTATGCAACACGCTATTTTTTCTCCAAACGAATGGGGTAAGCTCGGGGGCAAGTGAATGGTTGAGCGGCAGCAAAAGTACGAGCGGCACTAAAAGTACTTCTACTGCCGCTCCAGCGGCACTAAAAGTACTTTTGCTGCCGCTGGGGTTGCCAAGCAGCATAGAAATTAAGTTTCTACCACCTCGACAGGTGTTAACCCGCTGGATTTGCCTAGCAGCATAGAAATCAAATTTCTGACATCTTGACAGGGGTTAACAAAGTGACGTTTTTCTGACGTTTGGAGAAAAAAAATTTTGCTTACGGCATCCCCAATAACATGTTTAAATTTCATCCAAATATCACGGGTAACCAATTTCCATTTAAATATTGCGGGGTCCTTTGCACTCATGCGTTTTTAACTGAAAAATGCATTCGGGCAAATTTCCCAAAAATTATCAATAATTTCCATTGCACTAGTTATATTACTATTGATAATTTTTAAGCACTCGTGGTATTACCCCCGATAATTAATCGACCCGAAATTACTCAAAAACGAAACTGATGTACGAAGACCAGTGAAAATGCAATATTAAACATCCTCCAAAAGAATAAAACAAAAACAAAAGAACGAATGGATGACCGAGGAAATTCTGAAACTAATGAAAGAGAGGAGAAAGTGCAAAACTCTGAATGAACAAGATGGAAACAAATATAAACAGAGAAAAATCCGCAATGAGATCAGAATGGCAAAAGAGAAATGGCTAACCGAGGCCGAAAATCTGAACCGTCTTGGAGTCAGCTTCAATTTGCATAAAAAAGTAAAAGAAAGAGCTAGACTATACAGCAAAAAGTCAATAAATTCCATTAGAATGGGCACAACGAGATAATCACAGACCTCGAAAAACTATTGGAAATGGGGAAGAGATGCCTATACAACCAACCTTTTTGATGACAACAGACTACAAAGTCCACCAGTCAAAGTGAAATAAGATACCCAGCTATCGGGACCAAAAATATTAGAAAGCGAAATCCTATATGCCATGAAACAAATGAAAAGCAACAAGGCGCCGAGACCTAATAACATACATATGTATTCAGACTCGTTTCACTTTCAACAAACAAAAAATATAAAAACAATAGTACACCTTTTCAACAACATATATGATACTGGATATTTTCCCAAGGACTAGGTCCGCTCTACTTTTATTGTACTACCAGAATCAAATAACCCAGCAGGATGCAAGGATTATCGTCTCAGGTCTCATTAGTCTTATGACCCACTGTCTGAAGCTATTTCTTCGAATTCTACACACAAGACTACAAAAAGTGCGGAGAAGTTAGCGGAACTAGTCAGTTTTGGTTTAGGAGCGGTTTTGGAATTAGAAGCTATATTCAGTCTGCAGACTTCGGTGCAAAATTGTCAATATCAAAGAAATGTTAGACATAATCTCAGGACTGGATGATAAGTAGATAAGACTTATTGGTAGTCTTTACTGGAATTTCGGTTAGACAACTCGACAACAACAGACAAATGAAATAAACACAGATCAGGCAAGGATGTATCTTGTTTCCAATGCTGTTCAATCTATACGCTGGAAAAGCGTTTGAATCACTTTGCGTCAGTCCCACAGGCATTGAAGTGAACGGAATCCCCATAATATAATAGATTGAACATAGATGGAAAATATTTTGAACAGGTCACAGACTTTAAATATTTGGGATGTATGCTGAATGAAAGATGATGGGATCTGGAGAAAGAGATTAGATGCAGGAACAACAGACAAGATCAACCTTCCTAAGACAGAAACTTGAGCTTCAAACTCAGATACAGACTGCTAAAATATTATGTCTGGTCGGTCCTGCTTTGCGAAGTAGAGACATGAACAGTGAAGGTCACCATAAACAAAATCGAAGCTTTCGAAATGTGGACCTTGAGACGGATCTAAGCATACCTTAAGTCAACAACATCATGAATGAAGAGGTCATCCGAAGGGCTGAACTGTTAGAACGGGAACTCTTCAAAACCATAAAGCGCAGACAAATAAATATACTATGTGGGACACATAATACGCGGAGAACGTTATCGCTTTCAGCGCCTTATCCTTCAAGGCAAAATTGAAGAAGGTAGAAAGGGGGATAGGAAATAAGAAGCTATCTTGGTGACGGAATGTACAGCAGTGGACAGAAATACAGGAATTCCAGGCACTACAAACCGCTGCATTCTGCATTTAATAGAAATATTTGATAGGAAAACGAAAAACGATGTACGCCTACGCTGGAATCTGTGTGGCACTTCAAGAAGAAGAAAGACCATTTTCGACTGTCAATTGGCTTTGAAACGTCTTAGGGCTGCAAACCACATGTCAACAATATGTGATGTTTTTCCATTCAATGAAACAACAGATGTGACAAAGAAGTTTATTTTTGTTATTTTGGTACTTACAGATCTCTTAAAACTAGTCAAATTAACACAAATGTATTTTTTTTTTTTGTTTTTCTAAAAACTAAATCAGTTCTTATAAGATCCACCCTGACACTTTTAAATACCCCAAAAAATGTCAGTTCAAATCTTATAACTTCAAAGTAATTAATGTATTTCTAAAATAAGTCCAGATCACTTGATAAGTTAGCTAAATATGTTAGTTAGTGCAACTAATCGATTTGAGATCAGACTAAACACCAATTATAGTGCACAAAATTCAGATGGTTTTATTAGCACATCACAATTAAGCCAGTGATGCGATCTAAAATTTAATCAACCTCCATACAGAGGCAAAGGAAATATTAAATTAAACCACCCCTGTGCTTACATACACCTAGAGAAATAAAACTAAAAAAAATCCTTTAAATAAAGCGAAAAATTGTGTAAGCTGTAGCTGTGATTACTAAACAGGAATTTCGGGACAACTAAAAATTAATAATGTGTGCCCAACAATTTTAATGTATAAGTAGAACATAATATTTTTCAGTTAAATGTAAAATTTTTGTAGACTGTATTATTTTTGGTTTTTAATGGTTTAGTATCAACATTTTTTAAATGTGTATTTTTGATATTCATAAAAGTGTCCAAAAATAATCTAATGTTGATACTAACTTATATTCTAGTTCTAAATTTAAAAAAAAAAAAAAATAATAAGTTCAGGTACGTAAATTCCAATCAATACTGAGATTTTTATATTTTAAAATCTAATTTTCATTACAGTTTTTTCCAATCTCGTAGCTTATGCAAAAATGATAGTAATACATCACTTAACTAGTATTATTTCGATGTAAGTTATTATTCAAGAGGCAGAATTTCATACATTGTATTGTGTACAAATTTATGTTTTTACTTTTAGCTAGTTTTCAAGTTTCTCGACAAAAATCCCCAAAACAATGTCTATAAATATCGGGTAATGAATCAGTTTAGAAGTCAATTAAAATGATAGTTGTTACTGTTTGTGAAGTGAGGTTTGGTGATCTTAGAATCCGTGACAATAATAAACTAAAACATCCAAGTCAATAAAGACAATTTTTGAAAAGTTTACTACAACATTTTATCCACGACTGTTTACATAAAACAATTCACAATATGTTTTTTGTTTCAGCAAACAATTTTATCAGAAAATGTATAACTTATTGACTTGATGTACTGGTATGATGATGGCAAAACAATGTTTAAAAATGTATGTTTTCCTTATCAAATTTTAAAATCAAATAAATTATGAATATAATGTATGTATTGATAAATAGTCATAGATAAAAATAGTTAAGAGTAACTGAGCATTCTTGAACATATTAGGTCTGTTCCAACCCGCCAAAAAACCGTCCCGAGAACGCTTTCGGAACCACTCTTCATACAAATTTCGGATTCTTTCCACAAATGTTACGTTTTGCACAAAATCCTGACGGTAAAATGTACAGTTCCCTGTTGGGTTGGAACAAAGCTGTTAGGAGAGATTGGAAAAAACCTTTCAAAACCAAAAATAACCTTGATCAAATCGAAATAAAAAACACAAATGCTAAAAGAAAATACAAAAATGTTAACAAATAGCTGAAAAATATTTCAAAATAAAAACCACCACATTGAGAAATATATTTGTAATTCTAAACAACTAATACACACATAATTCTAAACTTAGATACTACTTTGTACTTTTGCTCTCACCAAAAGCTTTTTTTAAATCTAAAATTAGTCTGGACCACCAGATGATATAATGCAAAAGATATTCATTCATATCTGCCTGTAAAACCAACTTGCAGAGGCAGATCATAAAACTACTATTAGATGACAATCATGATATTCAATCATGCCTAATTTGTGTTAATGAACACATAAATATTGCTTAATCTGGAGATCTGCTAAAAATAAGTCAAAACTACTGGCTAAAATTTAACTTTGTGTTGATTATAACATAATATAGAGATTCTTTCATAGAACTTTTTTTCTTCAGTCAAAATAAATATGTATTTATAATGAATATTGCACATCTGACAAATTTAAAGGCCAAATAATTTTAAAATTCTATTTTGGAAGAAATATCACAATTTATAGCTTCAAATATTTGGTTTTACATTTTTATTAGATAGTTATGCAGAAATTTTCTCTGAAAGAATCTTAACGCCCCCCTTTGCAAGTACCTACTCTAAGCAGATTTTTCATAAATATCTCTGCTTCTCCTCAACCATGTTAAATTTCGTCTTCGTCCATGGCAAAATCACTTCCAAAGCCTGAATCTAAAGCATAGCTTGGGCTGAAAAAGAAAAAATGATTTATATAATAGAACAATTTTTATGATTATTGGTTATTAATTTTTGTCTTGCCACTCGCCAGAGAAAAAATGACCCTCAGTGAATAATAATTATAATCTTTGTTTAGAGTTTTAATATTGACTAGCTTCACTATAATATAAATATGTACTGGGAATTATGTATTTTTGAGGTATTTTTTCACCACCTATAATTTATAAGAACTACTTGTACACTCACCTGCTTGCTCTGCAAGTAAAAAACACGATACGCTTGAGTTTCTTGTTATACAAGAAATAGTTAAAGCTCCAAAGACAACCGTCCTCGCCGAATGGATCAGAGCATAAGTCCGGGTTGTAGGAGTAAATGTCGCAATTTTCCAGAGAAATTTCGTTGTCGATAGCAGCCCATAAGGCTGGTCTCAGTCCTTTATAGGTGTCGCCGGCAGTAGCGGTCAATTGGGAATCGATTGCGTTTGTTACCCATTGTAGGGACGGTTCCTTGCTGAATTCGTGACTCTGAAAAAATTCATCTTTAGAAATGTTGGATCAGAACAGGGTTGGACATTATGAGTCACCTGTCAGGCTGATAATTGGCAACTTTAACCTAGGAGAGCCCCAAATGTAACAGAGATTATAAGAAATTAATAGAAAATATTTATAGAAAATGTTATTACAAAAGAAAATGCACACAGCAACAATCATTGACCATGTCATTGCAAACATTAATATAAACTGGAACAATACAGTAATTGTATAAAACTAAACTATGATATCAAAAATACCTATACACGCATATTGTCAGACAAAGTATTCACACCCAATTATTAGTAAGTGGCGCCAAACAAACACCAATTAAGACAGAACTGTTCAGTGTACAGACACTTATAATGAAGTTCCAAATGATATCAAGTCTGGATTAAACAGGACCTTAGAAAATGCTTAATTCAATGAACAGAAACCTGAAAATGGATATTTAGGTAGGTATTTATCGAGGTATTTATATCTACAGAAACTGCAGATTTGCAGAATAGAGGAATGAGAGTTATTCTCAAATGCAATAGGTACACTGAAATCCAGCTGATGTTAAACAATCTACAATGGCGTTCGGTACAAACAAGATGATTTTTGTTTATAAGATATGGAATAATCTTCTTCCACCATATCTTGAAGAATTTCTTGCACTCAGGTATGATATACACATTCACTTAACTCGCGGGGTTATTCACTAAGGGAAAAATGTGACAAGATTTCGGATTTAGAGCGATTTTGAGGAATTTTGGGTGATTTAGAAGAATTTCGGGTGATTTCGAAGGATTTCGGGTGATTTCAAAGGATTTCGGGTGATTTCGAAGGATTTCGGGTGATTTCGGAGAATTTCAGGTGATTTCGCAAATATTTTAATTTGATTTTAGACTGTTACTTATCTTATAAGTACAGTGTGCATATCCACTTAAGTTCTCAGCATGTGGGAAACTTTTTTATTATCAATTTTATGAAAAAAAGTTATTCTTCATAAAAGTTTCTGCTTCTTGAAAAAATACTATTAAACTATTAAAACTTGAAAAAGCATGTACAGGGTGGTCAGAAAATAGGAAAATATACAGTGGTTTTTGGTAAAAGTAGAAAAAAAAAAGCCATGTCACTAAGCAAGTCATATTTCAGTTAAAGGATACCTGTCGTTATCACAAACAAACCTGCCAAATTTGAAAAAAAAAATGGGAAAGGGATTTTTGAGCTAAAAAAGGATTTTTTCCAAAATTTTGACACTCCGTATCTCAGAAATTACGCATTTCTGGACACATGTTTACGGGAACTTTTTTTCTTAAAATATTGTAAGGAATCACACCTGAAGTTACGAACCGTACTTAGGGAACACCCTGTATATTTATCTATTTTCTGACCATCCTGTACATGCTATTTCAAGTTTCAATAGTTTAATAGTATTTTTTCAAGAAGCAGAAACTTTTATAAAACTCAAGTGGACACACTGTATATTCGAAAGTGTATTAGTATAAACTGAAAACCGGCCGCCTTGGCCGATTTATAAATTTTGGGCCAATTGCTAGGCATTTTTGGGTCTGCGGAAAGATTTACGAGAGATTTCGGAGTGATTTTGTGGATTTCGGAAAGATTTTGGGGATTTCGGTAGGATTTCAGAAAGATTTTGGGGATTTTGGACGAATTTGTGACACGATTTCGGGGAGTGATCAACCCCTCGACTTAACTAGAAGTTATACAAATTGTAGTTCCCAAATTCCAAGGTGCAACCTTTCAAGCACAAACAAAATGCTTTTTTATGAAGGAATAGATGATTACAACAAATTACCTACTGTTGTTAAAAACTCTAGTTCCCTGAATGTATTTGAAAAACGGCTCAGTGATTATATTGTGGCCCTTTAATTAATGTTTCATGATAAACAATATACATATAGCAACTAAATGTGATTTCGAGAAGGCTATTGTTGAATTTTTGGTTAAATTCTAATTTTCTGATTTTAAGTTCTAAGTTTAAGTTGTTTCAATTTTGTTAATTTTTTTATTTTTCAATAATGTTTATATTTATTAGGGGTTCCTATTGAAATTGAATAAATTGATTGATTAACAATTAAAACACCAGTTCTTCTAATGAATATAACTGAGGAGAAGTTAACTAAAAATCCGAGTACAAATAGGTATCTCTAAAACCCATGAAATCTCCTTGAAATGACATAAAATCGATGCATAAAATTATTTGGTAGGAATGGTAGGTACCTACTTTTGAATTTATTAATATCCTCTAAAATCTTGAAAAATAGGTACCAAAAAAACTTGCAAAATCTCATGAAATATTTTATAAATTGCATAAACCCCCTCAACATCTTGGATCTTTGGTAATTTTCATTAGTTAATTATTTCTCCTTGAGTTTTAATTTCAATACACAAAAATCTATTGCAATCATTTCTAAATTAGTGCCAGATTTCATAAAATTTCAGCCTCAGAGTAAGATCTTGCTTAAAAACTATTGAAAGTGTCTCGACTTAGCGAGTTACAATATTACCTATATAAACCTGCATAAGCACTGGGAGATTTAGTATAATTAAAATCTCCAAAAATTCCTAAAAACTAAAATCTTGAAAAAAGGGATAAAAACTGTAATTTCACTATCTGATATTTTCAACCCTTCAGTCCCTACCCCTTACCGATTGAAAAACGTTCAAGTTAGAATACCTTATTAAGCCCCTTCCAAAAGATAGTAGTGGTACCCGAGGAGGTACCTACCCCATAATCTTGTGAAAAATAATGAAAACCTTACATTCATTAAGTTTTTGAAGAAAAAAAAAACAATAAATGCTTTATTTTTATCGTTTTTATTGAAATTTTTGATAGTTCCAACCATTCAACCCATACTGATAGAGAAAGTTTTAGAACACTTTGTTAAGTGTATCATTTTTTAAAAGGATAAAAAAATGGTAGAGGTACCCCACACAAAATTTGAAGAAAAAGCATTTGCTGTTTTAGTTATATTATAACAAACAAATACCTATTACAATTTATAAAAATATTATCATTATGCTTTGCACTCGCTAATGAACCATAAAAGGTTGATTTAAAAAAGTAAAAACTGTTTTGATGCATCCTTCATGCAGGTAATAATAAATATCTTGTAAATAATCGCTAAAAATCCATTTCAGTCTCTTTAGAAATTCTAATATAGTTTTCCGAAATCTCTAAAAATCTTTTGAAATTCTATAAAATCCCTAAACATTTCATAAATGAAGATCTATGTATGAGTTTCGAGAAATTAATCAAATAAGAAAAACAACATATACAGGGTGATTTACGTAGTCCGTTCATTAGCTTGCAGGTCGTTCAGACGCTATCTCTACTAATCCACCTGCAATCCAATTGAATTCTAATGCAAGGGCTACATCAATCACAGTGAATATCATAATAATTAAAACTCGAATTAAAATCATCTGTCATATAAATAGATAGGTAGATTCGAGGGAAGATTATTTATTTACCGACCAAATCATAATTTTATCTTAATAAAATACACAGGGGTCCACTTAGTGCGATATCGGACAATATCTCCTTACAGGCTGATGCAAGAAAAAAAAAATTTAAATTAAAAAGTTGTTTGATACTTTAATATACATTAGTTAAAAATATTTTTGAATATACAGGGTGCTCCGTTCATGGGGTATGCGACAGAACTTTTTTTATTTTAAATGGAACACCCTGTATGTGATTGCATAGTTGGATTTCACGTGAAATTCTGAGCAGATTTTATGTAAAGTCTGTTTTTTTTTTAAAGATAATTCCCCAAGTCAAAAATTTAGTAACACAAGCCTTTTCTACTTAAAAAATTTGAAAGCATTGTCAATTTAACATTGTATTGCCAACATAATATCATTTTGACTTTTATCTTTAATAAAAAAAACAAACTTTAATATACTCTATACCTACCTAAGTTTAACTTTTTTGGAAATATTGACAGTTAAAAATTGACTTTTTGCAACTTTGACAGGCTGTAAAACCTAAACGGTTAATTTTAGACGAAAACTGATTTTACATTCCTATCTTAGATTTTTATAAACTGTCATTTGCCAAACAACTTTGAAATTGAACGGAGAATAAATTTAACTGGAATTTTTGATCATGGATCAAATTTAAAGTTGGTATCAAATGATAGTTTATAGAAATCAAAGATAGGAATGTAGGATCGGTTTTCGTCTAAAATTAACCGTTTAGGTTTTTTACAGCCTGTCAAAGTTGCAAAAAGTCAATTTTCAACTGTCAATATTTCCAAAACAGTTGAACTTAGGTATATAGGTGGTTTCATTTAATTTTATTAAGTTATCACATAAAATACAATTTTGCCAACTTTGACAACATTTGGTAGATAAATGATAAGGAAAAACAACACATTTCCATTTTTCTACAGTTTTGTGTAGCAAAATAAACAGTTTCAGGCAAATCCCGGTAGTCTCAACAATCGAGCTTTTTGACATTTCCATATACAGAATGGCTCCACGAATTCAAAACTACTGTAAACTGGGGTGACTTTGCCAGCTTTTGGGGGTTTTTCATTGATATATAACATGAAACACTTCAGCTGTATTGCCTGATGTATAATGTATGTCAAATTTAGGCATGTTTTCTATAATCAGTAATTTTTTCAAGGCCCTATAATAATGGATTATTATTTCTGTTTTTTGGCCTAAAAGTTGGCAAAATTACCCCAGGATTGGGCCGATTGGGGTAATATTGCCATGCCATACAACTAGCTAAAAAAGGCAAAGTTAGACCAGTTTTGGTCAAATTTTTCTTTAACATGAAATTTCCAACATTTTCGTGCAAAAATCCCAAAAATATCTTGAAAAATAAAAAAGTTATTGAGTATTTTGAAAAGTGCTTTATTTTAGACACCAAAATTTCTGAATCAACTGAAAACCTAACTCTAACTGAAACATTTTTTTTGCTCAAAACTCTGGTAATCTATCTAATCACTAGTATTATTATTACAGAAACCATCCTAGTTAAATTTAAAATTTGTCAAATCATCTTCGAAATAAAATAAATCTCATGGGGTATCATTGCCATTAAAATTAAAATTATTGCCCCAAGCTTTTTTTGATAACTTTGGCAACATCGTTTTATAATGGTTATAATGTCGAAAGCTACACAAAAATAGTTATTTACCTAACAAGTACTTTTCCGCACGAGACGGCAGTTGCACGAACAACGCGGAGCGGAGTTCGGGCAAGCCGTCGAGGGTGGAAAAGACATTTTCTGCAAGAGTTAGGTACAATATTTTTCCTACGAGTGCTTTTGTCCATCTTATTTATCAAAAAAATGTTCCAATACGCAAAGATTTTATAATGATGGTACAAAATAGCACATAATATAAAATAATAATATATAACATAAATCATTTATTTGATCCTAAATATCTTCATTTTTAGCAATAAAAAAATCGTGCGGAAAAGTAACTATTCAGCACGATTTTACTTTTCCGCACGATTTTTTTATACACAAAAAAATAATGGAACCGAATTTTTTTATCATGATCCTTGACCTATAACTAAATTGGCCAAAAAATTGTTAGGATTTCCTACCTTCGCGGGGCTATGCCACCCAAAATAGGGGGCTGTGCCCCCAAATAAGGGGCTCCGCCCCCCAAATAAGGGACTCCCCCCCAAAAAGGGGCCCGCAGGACTGTGCCCCTCAAAAATGGGGCCCCCGCGGGACTATGCCCCCCAAATAGGGGGCCACCGCGGGGCTCCGCCCCCCCAAATAGGGGGCCCCCGAACTTTAATATGGGTACACTTTTCAGTAAAAGTAAAAATCGTGCGGAAAAGTAAAAAAATAGTGCGGAAAAGTAAAATCGTGCGGAAAAGTAACTTTTCCGCACGCTCGTAGGAAAAACATATTTAAGTTTCAAGTTTCTATTCTATGTGCTATTGGTGGTAATACCCTAGTATAGCACAGCTTCTTAAAGTTGACAATTTTGGCAAAATAAAAAATATCTTATAGAGTTTCAACTGGGTTTGTTTGACACTCACAAAAGCACGGGATGTATGCACCTTTCTAACGGAGAAAGGAAAGTGTCTACTAGGCTTGCAATGTTGCCACTTTCACGTAAAAACATTTATTTTATAATAGACGCATTGCTTGGCAAAGTTACCCCTTTAGGCAAAGTAACCCCACTGTACGGTAATAAAAAAATACTAGGTTGCCATTTACAATTATGAAGCTATAGTCACTTCCGGTAAAACCGGAAGTTGCAAGACTTTTACACATATGTCAAAAGATGAAATTTATCAAATCTAAACTCTACACCGAAATTCATTCCGTTCGGAAAAGAAATAAAAAAATGCCAGAGCAAAAGCGATCTGGTTGACACCTGGTATAATAAACTGCCCACTTTTATCAAAAGTCAAGTAAAAAGTGTTAAATCTTTTCAATAACTTAAAAGAAAGGTTTGCCAGTTTATTAGGAATAATGAGTCTACACGCTAGTTGTTAATAAAGGTAATGATTGGTAATCAAAATTAGAATTCAGTCATAACTACCATGACATTTTGGCGAAGGATCATCTAACAAAAATATTCCATCGATTTTGTAATTAACTTTTTTTTTCTGGTGTTTACCGCCGCCACATCTGATTTACATTTTTTTTGGCACAAAGATTTCAAATGAATGCATGCTGCTTACGAACCCATCACTTAAAATACAAACAACCACATCTGTGCCAAAACGACTTACTATAAATAGGTAAATTGGCAAGAAACATGTGAGAAAAACAAAACAAAATAGTCGTTTTATTTGCCAATACAGTATTAGAAATCAGAGTATTAATTATTTTCTATAAAGAATTATCACTTATTAAGTTAATCCATCAGTGTATAGATGGCACCACAGTCAAAGTTCTACCAGCAACTTTCCGGTAGTTATATTGAACCTGAAAAAGTCACAAGCATCTACCTTCCTTGTCTAGGGGAGCAGAGTGTTCAATGATCGTTTAGTGAGGATACTTCTGCTGACACCCTATATTGAAAAATTACCGGCACCCGCACATTGTGCGAGTGCAATTTTTGGGAGCGCCTTCCTTATACTTTTAGGGGGCCGTTAATTAAATAAAAATAATTAATTATAATTAATAATATTATGGAAAATAATATTTTATATTAATTAGACTCGGCTTTGATACCTATAGATTTCAATAAATTGAGTAGGTATTCTATCTATTTCACTTTTTATCTTAAAGGATTTAGAAAACAAGTAACCAGATAAGCTGCTGAAAGCTGATACTTTATTGAAATCAGCACATAAAAAATTATATAAATATAGGTACTGGACTTGGCTCTGAGATAAAAATAAAAATGCAAACATTTTGTCTTTGAATTCTGATACTGCAACTGGGTACTGAAATCCATCCATTAAAATATAGAAATACATACTGATGAAATGGAAACAGTAAAAGCTTGTCTGGCAGGATATTATTAACTTTTTGATAAGTACCTATGTTTTTAATTACATGAAACTTGTTGAATTTTTATTGCAGAAAACAATGATACACTGTTCTTGGCCTACAAATTATACATTTTTGTACATTTTAAGATCATTTCCAATACAGTTAATTATATAGGTACTTATCTCACAAATGGAACTCACTTAGGTAAACTTAATGATTTTTTTTTCCAAATTTTGAAGGTCAATGATGACTAATTTTGTTGGCAACAATTATGTTTACATTTTACAGTGAACATAATAAATTATTATTCACATCTTCAAAAGAGAACCTTGTCTTCCAACAAACAATAAGTGTATATGATTATGAAAAGCATTTATCGAAAATTTTGGGATAGACTTTCAAAAAATTACAAATCCTTACCTTTAAATCCATGAAATCGTAATCAGGAAATGACGAGTTCAAAGTAGCAATCAAGTAAAACAATGTTTTGCGACTGATGGTGTCACACAACGGCCCATCTTCGTCTCCTGAAGTGCTCTTACTGTATTGTGACTGCGAAGGGGCCTGAGGCGGCGAAAGGGCCTGCAAATCGTTTGGATTCACACCTTGGGGATTGAATCTATATAAAAATTATTATAGTTTTATTTATCGGTTTATTGTATGAAAATAAATGATGTTTATTACTGATAAGTGTTTATTTTTATTGTTCTCAATTTAACTTGTACCTACATGGAAAATACAATTTTACAATGCAACTATGAAAGTATTGCAGCATACTAAATTGCCTATAGAGATTAGAGAAGCTGGTATCAGTCTGGATTTCTAAACTGTACGATTTTCACTAAGGGGGTCTTAGGGGTAGTTGGAAATCAAAGAATAGGTAGAATGAGATTATTTTTAATAAAATTATAGCATGTACCTCTTGTAGAGGGCTTTGTCTCCTCCAGCCATTTTACATGAATAACTCTCGATCCTGCCTAGAATCTTGCTATCTCCATTCTCAATCTGTAAAGCATTGTTTATGGTCTCAAAAGTGGTACTTTCCAGAAGTTTCATCTTGTTTGTTATGAATACAACCAGTCACTAATAATATCACAAAATATAATAATCCTCTCACAGCAAAGTTAAAGCTTTTTCTAATACTCAGCAGAACTTAAACTAAATAGACTTCTTATATTCTACACAAACTTCTGCGAGCACTATTCGTGAAATAAGTGTTTTTGAACATGGCTGTGGGGTGTATGAAGATTCCTTTCTTTTTCGTTTTCGAGTGTATCAAATTTTGTGGTACCAATGATCTTCTGAGGGAGCTTTTTTCCAGGAGGAAGTTTGGGCACATTACAATAATTGTGGAAAATTAAAACAAAACTAGTTGCCGAAAGAGAGTTTCTAAAAGCCGCGAGAGTCGCTAAAAGGAAATTCACTAAAATGAAAAAAAAAAAAAAATGGGTGAGTCCCCTGAGTGTACTAGTTTGCTCTTGAAAAATTGATTCAAATTTATTCGATATTTAGCGGGGGCTAGTGTTCAGAATGTTCCGAATGGCACAGCATTTTCACTAGAAACACGAAACACTTCAACTAAAACCGGAATAATTAATTTTCCGCGAATTTCCAGCTGAAAATTAACACAAAGAAAATTTGTTTGATGCTTTGCTTTGATGCTAAACCTGACCGAATCACTCACAAATAAACACACACTGTTGCCATATTTATGTCACCCAAAACACATAAATATGTAACTTAAAAAGATACCTTCCTCCTCGCCTTCCTCGGAATATAAATATCACTAATCCCAATAAAAGTGAGTACCATACAGCTATTAAGCTTTTATCAACATTTTGTGGTGATACATTCAGCTTTTAAATAATTATGTATTGATAATTTTCAACAAATCTCTTTTATCAAATGGTGATATCTAGAATAATTTGTTACAAACGGCAACAATGCACATATAGCCATTCCCCTACACACCGCCAAGCCAAACTTCTGGCTCAAATAATCGTTCGTCTCTCTCATGTTCGTAAATAAAGGCAGTTCATCTTTGTCTTATGACGTAACGGTGTTTTCAAAATCGAACAAATAGAAAGTTCATCTAAAAATAGATGAAAAATTGAAAAACAGAGAAGAATTTGCGGGTAAACAACTAAAAATTAGAATTTTAATTGCGTATTTAAGTATTGAATAATAAAAAACGAGGTGGTTTTGCAATTAGCGTTTTTTTATTTATTGGACATCGCAGCCAGTAAAGGTAAATGCTGTGAACGGTCTTAAAAAGAATAGTGCCACCAGTGCCACCTATCATCCAATATCAGAAGCACGCCTTTGCCTTTGGTAGATTTCTAATTTCTAAGATTTGCAGGGCGGCTCATGGTCTGGGAAGGGTTTCAATTTTAGATCCGTTCATTTTGTGCCAATTCCAATGCCGCAAGTGTACCTGGCAAAGGGACGCCACCTTTTAAAATAAGTTGAACTGTTCCTGACCTTAATCCTTCAAATTTGATAACAGATGCATTACACTTTACTATACCGGTCTGGCAAGTGAACATCTTACATGCCAATTTTAATGCAATAGAATGAAATGCCTAGAAAAAGTGTAAGGTTGAATAAAGAACGGAAACGATTTCCCCTGTTCCACCTCCAGCGTTCTCAACGCTGCATGCATGGAGGTGGAACAGGGAAAATCGTTTTCGTTCTCTATTTAACCTTAGAATTTTCCTATACATCTCATTCTATTGCATTAAAATTGGCCTGTAAAATGCTGACTTGCCAGACCTGTTATATCTATACACAAGTTCCCTCCGGCATCTCCGGATGTTGCTTGATGTTGGGTTAGTTTGGATTAGTTGAGTTAGTTGAGATGGTTGGAAAGGGAGATCTAAGGATACTACACACTACACAGGATAGCCTATCTTCATAAGGCCTGTGTAGATCAAATCTCAAGCCCCCACTGCACCACGCCAAAGTACCATTTATGACGTAGGAATCGGGTCGATTCTCGTTTCGACGTAAGGTGTTTACACCACAGGCTATCAGGCTATCATTCCCCTGGCTTTTGCTTTATGCATACTTGTGTTAGTACATTAATTAACATTCTAAAAGAACCCTTTTCAGATCTCGTCTGCATCTTCCTCGTTGCCTATTATGTTAATCAAAATTAAATAATATTTTTCATCACAAATGTATATTCTAAACTACGACCGCTGGCGCAAACAGTTAATGACACGTACCGTTGATGATGTTACCAACGGTGCAACACCATATGACCTTGATTCCAAAAATCAAGGCCGATTAGCAATCCTGTAGTAGAGTATATTATCCTTGAGGGAGACCGTAGGTAACGACGACGCCTGCGTTTCGAAGAATTTTTCCGGGAGAAACAGGATTGCGCTGTTGCTAACCCGGAGAAAACACCTAATAATCCGTAGCCCGGAGACCATATGCGAAAACCCGAAGATATCGCAAGGAGCAATATTGCTTCTTCTGTCTTTCTTTTTTAGCACTATAGCACTAGCATTCAGCAAGCAAATTAGATACTGAAAATATGACGTAAATGATGCGAATATATTCGCTTTGGTGTGAGACTTTGTCCGGAATCCGCCCATGAAATTCGCTGCGGATTCTCCGTCACGAATCCGCTGCGAATAATTCGCGTTGGTTTGGGAAAGCCTTAAATTTTTTTTTTTTTAAGAAAAATAAACGTTTTCGGGCGTGGAATCCGAAAAAAAATTTCCGCCTTCGGCGATATCCTCCAGCGACTGAGTCTACGGGATTTCGCATATGGTCTCCGGGCTACGGATTACTAGGTGTTTTCTCCGGGTTAGCAACAGCGCAATCCTGTTTCTCCCGGAAATATTCTCCGAAACACACGCGTCGTTGTTACCTACGGTCTCCTCTCAAGGATAATATACACTTATACAGGATTGCTCATCGGCCTTGATGTCTGGAATCAAGGTCATATGGTATTGCACCGTCGGTGACATCATCAACTGTGTCGTTAACTGTTTGCGCCAGCAGTCATAGTTTAGAATATACATTTATGATGAAAAATATTATTTAATTTTGATTAACATAATAGGCAACGAGGAAGAAGCAGACGAGATCTGAAAAGGGTTCTTTTATAATGTTAATTAATGTAGGTACTAACACAAGTATGCATAAAGCAAAAGCCAGGGGAATGATAGCCTGTGGTGCAATGTGCCAACACCCTACGTCGAAACGAGAATCGACCCGATTCCTACGTCATAACTGGTACTTTGACGTGGTGCAGTGGGGGCTTGAGATTTGATCTACACAGGCCTTACGAGGATAGGCTATCCTGTGTAATGTGTAGTATTCTTGGATCTCCCTCTCCAACCATCTCAACTAACTCAACTAATCAAAACTAACCCAACATCCGGAGATGCCGGAGGGGACTTGCGTATAGATATACAGTAAAGTGAAAGTGTAATGCATCTGTTATCAGATTTGAAGGATTTTTGTTTCTCATTTTTCTTTCAATTAACGTTTTTTTTTTCCCCCAGTTCAACTTATTTTCAAAGGTGGATGGCGTCGCTATATGCCAGGTACATCGTCTGATCTAAAATTGAAACCCTACCCAGACCACGAGCCGTCACTGCTCTAAAACCCCTTCCCCCCCCTTGAAAAAGTTATAGCTACGTCGTTGGCCACCCCTGTATAAATAGCCCCGCAGAATAGCTTTCTCACCTAGAAAACATAATATAATCATATTTTACTCTCAGAATGGTTAAACAATAGACCTATCTATTTTACCAGCTAAAGAAGTAATAATACGAAAACTTTATTAGATAGAAAAAGACGCAGAACGCTTATTGCGCAAGACGAGGCAAAACGTACCAAATTATGTTAGACTTACGTATAGCCAATGAACTATAACCAAAAACTGGAATGCGAACACATAAGGACGAACCTGAGGCCTAGTGCGGCTGCTGCGGAGGGGATACCTGTTTTTGTCGCACTCATTATGTTAAATGGCGAAAATTGCTTCCAACACGTATTCCAATCGATGAAACCTGTGAAGGGAAATATGACAAAACTTACGAAAACGTCATATGTCAGCGAGCAACAGAAAAGAACAACATTCCCCGTTGTGGCATCTGTCTTTCATGGCTTCATTTTTTTGGCAGATATGGCAATGTGTGCACATTCCAGTTTTTAGCTATAGTTCATTGCGTATAGCAATCCGTTCTTATTATTTGCACGGGATAAAAAAGGAAGGAGAAAAACCGCGTGACATGCAAGATATTTGTCAATCAAAAACACAAACAATTGAAAATCGATTACTTGTCAAGGTACGTCAAATTGAATATCAAGCATAATTTTATCCTTGTCAGACCACGGGCAATGAACAAGGACAAGGAGATGCCCAGCGTGCAAAAGGATTACTTCACACCCGTACTAGTTAGCCAATAAAAATGCATTGCCTCGTGTTGCGCGCGCATACAGGTAAAAATAGATAGGTCTATAGGCAATTTTTCGCGAGGATAATCAAGCATAATCTGATTATGTGATGTGTCAATTGTGTCATACTCCCCTAGTCCCTCTCCAGTCTCCATCCAATTCTGGGCCTGCGAGTGACGTCACTATCAGCAGCTTATAATGTTACCCGCAGACCTTGATGGAATGCTTGCGATTCAGGCTGTGCTACGGAGTTAATTTTTTCGTCAATTTTAAATGTAGAAAAGGTGATTTTTGGTCTGTTCTCACGGAGTGGCGTATTTACCATAGGGCCATGGGGGCCATGGCTCGGGGCGGTAAGGCTGCTAGGGGCGGCACAAGCCGCGTCCCCAGCGCTTAGGAATGCTATCTTAACAACAAAGCAACAAAAGCTAAACTAAAACTTATTATATTATGTAGGTAGGTACTTTTCTTCCATAATGCGACCAATTTTTGGCAGAGTTAAGGCGGCGCAAAACTTCGTATCACGCAGTAACCGCCAATATTGAATTTTTATTTCTATGCAAATTACATACAATTTTCAAAGCGAAAGTTTGAGTAAACATCATAAAACTCCAAACATTACACCTGATTGATCTTGGGGACGATCTACAAGAAGAATGTGTTCTTTTAAAACAATTCTTGACATCTCATGAAAATGAAATGGAAATGAGTTTGAGGCAGCTCAACATATTATTTAATAAGGAAAAGAATTTGAAGGAAGCATTTCCTTATACAGAAATAGTAGGTAATACGTATGATTCTTTGCACTGTAGTAAGCTTTGACTGCAGTGACAAATTGCTGTGCAGAACGTTCGTTTTCCGTACTTGAAAGAATAAAAAACTATCTTCGTTCCTGGTATGGACAAAGACCGTGTGAACAGTTTATAGTCATGCTTAAAGGGGGTGTGACCCAAAAAAACAACTTCAGCTAGGTACTTCAATCAAGAAAAAAAAATCTAAGATCTCTCGTGAAAACCGCAGCCCTATATTCAAAATAGTATCTGAGAAAATCCCCCTTTAAAGATAAATATTGCGGGAGCTTGTGACGTCACACCGGCTAAACGCCGAAATCGCAGCCTTCTGTTCGTTCAGTCCTCACTCCCTCAGTGAACTGTACCCTATACTTTGAGTAGTTGCAATTTGCTCTAGTGAGATCATGGACATTTTTTTTTGGAAAATTTTTACATGTGCTAAAACTGTGCCTCCGGAGCCGGTGTGA